TGGTTGACGGGGGAGCATATGACAGGTAGGGCATAACTGGCCTCTCGCAGCGGTTGACTAAGTGCGGGGGCGTTTAGCGGAGGCGAGTTGACAGTGAGTGTGGGAGGCTTAGCGAACAACGACAGTGTGAGTCAGCTGCGTCATATAGTAGCAGAATGTCTGGGCTTTTACAGTACGCACCAGAATTCGTGCAACATGCCGACATATGCGAACGATTGATACTCTTTCGCTAATCGGAATTGACTCCAGTTGTGATACTGATTATCCTGTAGTGTATTCTGAAGTCCCATGATAGGATGCGGGCTTTTTAATGAGCTTCGTTCTGACCACTAGCAAAACCAATGAGAGGATGCGGGCTTTTTAACGAGCTTCGTTCTGACCACTTCCAAAACGTATATACTGCGAAAAGTAACTACTTAAAAAGTATGTGTTTTTATCATTGATTATGACTGCCTTCATAAATTCAAATATATTTAATGGAAAACATGCACGAAAAAATATTTCTCGTACTCGTTTGGTAGAAAATTACGTCAAGTGCAGCTATTTTGCATGTCGCATTGCTGGATTGAATTAAAAGGATTAAAGACGCAAGTTTTGGAATATTTCCCGCCATTTGTCAATGCTCCGTCCTCTATGGCTGTTTTATGTGAAGATATATAAGATTTTGTTGTCTACAAGTTCACGAAACCGACCAACTTTTTAAGTTGTGTGTGTTCTGTTTTGCAGGCCGCTTGTGGTCAATACTCACACGTCTGCGTCCAACTAGGAAGATGATGAGGTCTTACGTAGCAACGTACGTCTTTGAAATGGTCAACCAGTGATAAGCGAACCACCTGTCTCCGAACGATGACCTTTTTTGTTTCATTTTTTGTCTTACGTGAAGCGATAAGATTTTTTCACCTGCAGTTTCTTATTTAATTACAAACTTTTTTCTGACCTTGTTTTGGGCAACGTCGCATTTTTGAGTGAGGAAAAATTTCCAAAAGTAGACAATTCTAGAGAAGAATGTGTAAGTGGCATGTTTTGTCAAAAATTACCTGAAAAGTACATCTTTATAACACACGGTAAGACAATAATTGAGTGGGGCACTCGTCCTTCTGTATGGGATCCATGAATGCGTCGTCACTTATGTTAAATGTCGTCAGGATACGTACAGTCAATGTTGTTTTAACCAACATTTTAAATTACGCTTTATTTGGACTTGTACTGTTTACTATCTTGGAGTATATTTTTGAAGATATTATAGACACAAGCTAAGCTGCCACTTTTTGAACGCACCGTCTTTCGGGCTTCATGGAAGAAAGAGAAAGCTATATTTTGAAGGTAATATCCAAAATTTCATCAAAAATAGCTCCATTCACGGAGAACAGGGATAAGGTAAGGTAAGGGTTCATGGTAAAAGGTCACAGAATATTCAAAGTAAAAGGTTTGAATGATATTTAAACCTGTTATTCAGATAGGTTGGCTTTCAACTTCTTAGTTTCCGTTTTTTTACGCGTGAGGTAGCGTGCTAGGAATGGGAGCACAAAGTGCTGATATGCCGATGTACGGCGAGACATATGACGGAAGCTTCAGTGCATAGTACGGGAATACTTCCCAGCCATTATTACAGAGTGGAGAGGGTGATCGACTTCACTAAGGATGCGATCAGCATCGTCAATGGTTTCAGAACTGGGAAAGGGTCGCAGTCGAAAAATAACTTAGACTGACGTCCGGTCGTTAAAGAGAAGGACATTTGCTGACAAGCATACTGAGACGTGGTCCAGGCCATCCTTCAGTACTTGGAGGTTCACCTGACTTTTGAGAGGACGGCCAACAACCATGTGCTCAGCATATTTAACAACGAACTTCCGTTTGTCGATCGTAGGTCGTCAGTGTGGAGGGAGAAGAGGTGAGGGGATGAGGAAGACTCTTGCAGAACTCCACAGTTGTTGGGAAGGACCGTGGATTTTCGCTTGAAGCGCTGAACGAATTGAGTGCGGGAAGTGAGATTGTCTCCAAGCCAAGAGATAGCCCAGCCGGGAGAGCCGCATGCGGAAGTTTGTTAAATAATAAGTTTGATGAATAATAAGATGGCGCGGCATCGTATTAAAGGCTTCGAAGTAGTCAAGAAAATCACATCCGTATGCACGGCAGGCCTTATGTAGGTCTCTTAGAGCAGAAGAAATCCAGATTTAAGCAAAAATGACCAATTATGTAGTTCAAAAGACTAGTTTGGCGAGTGTACGTATACTTTCGATAAAGTCCCATCAGGCTTGTACATTTATATGGGAGTGGGGTACAAGTTTAAACGTGTTCGTCATTTTCTTACAAGCGAGTCGTAGGAATGGAGGGCGTGGAGGCGATAAGAGAAAGCTGGTTATGAGGGCGGGGTTTTGGTGGGGCAGTCTAGGGGAGGGATGCAGGCAAACAGAGCGTGGATGAGTGCTTGCTGCTAAGTGACTGTGGGCCACGCCAGCTACGGAACTTGTGCTATGTTCTTTTATGCACACAACGCCGGCTTCACCAGCCTGATAATGGTCGCTCCTGCTGTTGCTAGCAGGCGCTGACCCAGGGACTTTGGATAGTTTGGTGGGACCTTCTAGATCGCTCGGAAAGCTTCCTTGGGGTCCACCTGATGTCCGGAATCGACCATGTGCGCCAGAATAGAACTGTTTATGCTCAGCAATGCCTGGAAGTGTTCCTTTATACTCTTGGCTAGGCACCGGCTCGTGCGACCAGTATAAACTGCTCCACAGGAGCAAGTAAACGAGTAGATACGCATGAAGGAAGTGTGAGCTGGTAACATATATAGTTTGCATTTTTGTCTATAGCTTATCGATTCCCTCACAAATTTCAATACATATTTCACAGAAAACTCAATCACACCTATGCTTTCTTATACCCATTGGATAGCTGATGACTGTTTTAATAGTTCCTTCGAAAAATTGTCTATCTTTTAGTTTTAAAAAGGTTTATAACTGTAAAATGGCACTCATGAAGTAGTCGATGTCGTCCAAAGCCATTGCAAAATTAAATGAGGACCAAAGGTCGTCTCCTATATGACAAGCAGTAGTGTCGGATATTTTTTCCACGGGCGGTAGACTGGAAACCCTAGAAGC